AAGACATACGTGCTGTTGCATAAAATTGTTAACTTTTAATTATTTAGTTAAAAGTTTTTATTTATAGAACAAATATAAATTTAGATATTTCTTTTAATTAGTTAATAGAGAAAAAATTTAAAATTATCTTATTATTTTCATATCGAAATGTTTTTCAAATAAATTCCATAGTATGAAAAGAGAAAAGAAAAAGATCTGTAGAAAGAAAGAAAAATTATAGTTACTGAAGCTTTAAATATTTAGGAAAACACTTTCAATGTATTGAAAAACTCATGAGAAATGTATGGCGCACACATACAAATAATTCAAATGTTACAAAAACAGTTTTGCCTTTTTTATAAAAAGAAGAAAAAATAGATTTAATATTTTCAAAAATTAAAATAACTATCGAAAGAGCAATAGCTAGGATGAAAAAGGAATCCCTCTTCTATGAAGTCTGTAAATCCGTTTCCCTGCACCAAGAGTTGGTGTGCAGAGAAAAATAAATGCGTGAATTTTTTTCTCCAGTTAAGAACTAGGAAACGATTTTGCCACACGGATTTAAGATAAGGTATCCCGACGTCACTGACAACACAGAAAAAACGGCACCTAATAATTCTTTAAATGTATTCTAGAATATCTCTCTATCTCGCTATCTATACAGGTAATGTGGTAATGTTTCATTTTTAAAGCACAAATTACTCGGGATAATGTAGCTACAAAATCGACACAATCGATAAATCGAAACAACAATCGACAAGATTTAAAGTATTTGTCTTATTAGCTAGAAATTCCCATTTTCGAAAGTTTTGAAAGTACTTTACTATTAAGGCTATCTATATATTTCTTATTTTAATGAAGTTCAGTTATGAAGGGTTGAAATTATAGAAAGTCAAATTACCTTGAATCACGAGTTCAGCTGTATATGAAGCAATGTGAGAGCCATCTGTCACTGTACATGTGTAGTTACCGCTGTCTTGACTTTTGGTTGGATTGATGAGCAAAGTTGAGAATCCCTCATAATAAATGACCTTTATTCTATCGTTTTCTTTGACCTCCGATTCATTTTTTATCCACCTGAATTTCACAGAGCTTCCTTCACTGGTTGGTGAGCAGGTCACAAACACTTTTTCAGATTCTTTCGTGTTGGTCGGAAAGTTAAAAGGAAGAACAGCGATGTCTTTGCCTTTATAAAAACAACATATATTCAGCATTGGAAAGTTCATTTTAACTTATCAAAATTCAATATGAAATGTAGCAACTTTCTGAATACAGATTTTAAAAAAAATTTTTTAGTTTGATCAAAGCTTACTGTTTTAATTTTACTATAAATGGAAGTCAAAATAAACTTTCGTTAATAAATAAAGTAAGGCATTTGAATTTTTGTATTTAGCATTTATTTACATTAAAAGCATTTTTGCGGCTTTGGAGGGCTTTACATATGTTATATATATCAATACGCTTTTGAGATTTTTCTTTTATATTATATATTTTATTTTATATTTCTTTTATATTATTTATTTAGTTTCAATATTTTTTCTTATATTTCAGGACTTTTAAGATAAAAATTAATTAATTGTAGGATAATTTTTACATTCTTTTTCCATTTCTTTTTCCTTTTATAATGTATCTTTACTTTTTTATTATTGTATATTACTTTTTCTTTTTATAACTCATCTACACCACCCTTGCTTGATATTTTAAATCCATAACATTTTCAAATGTTAAAATAAGCTTTTTCAGATATATGTGTAATGTTCTTTCACACTTTATGTAACAAAAAAAAAACATTTAATATTCGAATTCAATTTTGGTTTCTCGTAGTGTCACAGAAAATGCATTAGTTAATTGCAGAAAATTTATAGTACAATAATCGAAATAATCAAATATATCAAAAAACACTAGTGTAGATATCAATAAGTTTTTATTTTTTATGCAATATAACATTTTTATCAGAAATTTACAAAAATTAAATCTAAATTTCTCGTGCTATAATTATTCTGATAGAATTACATGTAATATATCAATTCAGGAATTAAACAATAGTTTAAATTTTAGTTTAATTATAAAAGAAATCTTTCATTAAATTTTATATTTTTAAGGACATTCAGAAAATTTTTAGGGAGTTTTTGAGCTAACCAAAATCCAGGCTCAAGTAAAGGGACTATTGCAGTAAAATGTAATAAAGAAACATGCCCCTAATTTAACACTAGATTGTCCAAGGAAGTCATTTTGACTGCTTTTTAATTTCAATTAGAAAAACAATGATGTATGTAATGACACAATTTCTTAGAATTTTGTAACTTTTTGTATAACATCTAATTATTTTATTGTTAACATTATTAATAACTTGCTATATAACTGTAAATAATATAAAAATTATTAAAATTTAATTTTAAACAAATTTCTTTACACATTATTCTTTTCACAATAAAGTCATTTTGACTGCTTTCGGACAACATATGTAGGTATTTACTAAGTTTCAGTCTTTCTAGTGTTTAAAGAATTTTCATCAAAATGCCTCTATCATTATAATTTTCTTTTTCTTTCTTAGTCATTTTGCAGTTCTTTAAAAAGTTCAAAGAAAATGGCATGTCGCGATGAAAGTCATAAAAGCGAGTACGATACATTTTACTAGAAAAATAAATCAGTTACAAAATTGAGATCTCTTCTCAGTATGAAGTTACCAATATTTTCGTAGTCTTTCGTACCTCAATTTAAAGTAAAATATTGACATTATTTAAACTGTGAAATTTAATACTTTAAAACTTTTCAAAATCGAAAATGAAAGCTATTTTCTTTAACACAATTTAATAACCTATTAATATCATAATACTAAAATGCAATTCAGAACAAGCACAATGAACACTGTAATATCATAATTGATAGTCAGTTACTCACCTTTAACTAAATGTAAAATATTTCCTCCAACAAGTAGCATGGTGATCTTCAATGCAAAACTGATAACCATGATTTGATTCGTTATAAATTAAACGGGATCTACGATAAATGTATATCATGAACGCATTTTGTACATTGTATCCATTTTGTGTGGATATAAGAGATTGCAGTCAACAAATGTAGAAAACTAAATTTCAGAGGAGTCATTCAGATATGAGCGCCACCTTGTGCTAATATAAGACAACAATAATCATTAAATAACGCTAAAGCAAATACTCGAGTATTGAGAATGTAAATAACGTTATATTTAGATTAAAAGAATTTCATAATAAAAAACAACATTTTATCATAAAGCATTAGACATTCAACATCATACATTGAATCATTTTAACACAAGAAATTTGGACATAAATTCATTTTGTTTTTATCTTACCAGATACTGTTATTTTAATAACTTTTTCGAGACTATCGCCAACATCGTTAGATACGTGGCATCTATAAGATCCACTGTTTCTGTTTTTGACGCTGTATATGATTAATGAACCATTTGAAAAGGCTTGAATATTTGCAGAGGTTCCAATTTCTTCAAACTCTAAACTTGCAGCGCCATCTGCAAAAAATAAAACTGTAATAAACAACATTTATAAGTGTAAATTTGATTGGGGTAAAATTGAGAAGTAGTCTCATTACTTTCCATTCGTTAGAATAACCAAGGAAAGTGTCGGGAATTACTATATGAATGTAGAAATTTCACAGTTAGAAAACGGAAAATTTTAACAAGCGATAATTCTTTCAAAAATTAGATTTGAGTTAACTAATGATATCCAAAAGGGTTCGACTATTTATTCACTTAATTTTGCTAGAAGCCTCAACAATGCCTTAAAAAACTAGCATCTTATGGTGTCTGTGAAACACTCAGGCGATGCACGAAAACGTGAAGTACATGCACCAAAAAGCACGTCAAAACTTAAGAAACTAAATTGAGTAACAGATGAAAAAAATACGTTTTGTTAAAATTATATTTATATTTATAACCGTCGTTGAACTGCCGACCCTATTTTGGGTTTACGACTACTAATGTTCAACTTCGCTGCCCAGTAATTTTGAACCCAGTCCAGAAGATACGGATACTCCTGGATCAAGTATTGGGAGAAATTTGCCTTTGTAACACTATTTTCGAGAGCTTTGAATTTATAATAGATTTAAACGCTCGTTGTACTTACCTCTTACTTTATTCCAACTGGTTTTTGGCATGGGATGTCCAGTAGCGTAGCAATTCAGTTCCAAAAAGTCATTTTCAACAACACTCACATCTTGCGGTTGATTCAACCACTTGGGTGGTTCTAGAAAAAAAAAAATCAATCAAGTATTTGTAAGTTTATGTGACTTATTGTAGGAAAAATTTTGAATTAAGGTAACGTGGTGGAAGAACGAGAATTTTTTTACAGTAATTACCGTTGCTATGGCATTGTTTTTTTAATACATGATCAGCTAGATCATTTTTAAGTTCAATTTACAAGGGAGTCTATTTTAGATTGATAGATTTTAATTTTAAGCACATATTATATTAGGTATGTAATCTGATTGCACTTATATGTTACGATAATGATATAATAGGAATAATAATGCACATGAATTATTAATATAATTATTAATATTAATCATTCTGGATAGTGTGACTGAAGAAAGGAGGAGACAAACGAGTTTAAAAAGAAAGCAAATAAAAAAAATCAATGAATTAATAAATCAACCAATTAGTTTGTGAATAACGGCAAATCAGTAAATCTATAAATTAGCTCATAAACAGAAAAAGTTTGTTTTCATAATCAATTAATCTATTACATTATCACAGTATTCACATTATTGCATAGTTAAAATTGAACACATTAAGTAAAAAATACTTAATGAGTTCTATTTTCTATTCAATTATTTTGAGTGCTCCACACACTATTGTCTTGATATATTCTGTTTCGATATATTGATACATGATTAGAAAGCACTCCTTTTTGCTGATATAGTCGTGTGAGCTGATAAGGATATATCTTTTCATTACTTTATTTTTGGGTATTTTAATAATTTTCAATCTTTCATGTATTGCTAATATTATGTATTTTAAATATTACACACCCTCTTACTAGCGAGGTAATAAGAAACAATACAAATTACATGAATACAAAATAAAATAAATAATTGTAAGTTAAAAGTTTGCAAAAATAATAGCTGAAATAGAATTTTATTACGCTAATAATAATAAAGTATTTTTAAGTTGACTAATAATAGGCTTCCACTCACCATTTAAGATGAAGCCGGCTGTGAATGAACTTTGCGAATGTGCATTTTTAGCTACACAAGTATAATTTCCGACATTATCTTTACTTGCTGGTTCTATTGTTAAAACAGAAAAACCAGGTTGATTCAAGACTGATGTATTTGGAATTTCTGAAATATCTTTTCCATTCATCAACCAACTGAACTGAACTGAACCAGATCCTTGACTTACTGCACAAATCACAGCTATTGTTTTACCTGCAGTTGATTGTTCGGGAAATGCAAATGGCTGTATCACAGGTGTTTCTAGAAATATGCAAAATTAGAAAAATCTTATATTAAGGACTGATAGAATTTATATTCAAAACTGATAGTATTTATATTAAGCAGAGATGATTTATTAGATAACAGTTTCGCTACAGAAACCTTTAAACAATTTTATTGTGACCTGTTACAAATCTATATTTTGTGAGAAAAATTGTGTCTTCAATTGTTTAACATGTAAATGAAATGTAAAAGTTAATTTCAAATTTTTAACTATTGTTGTTGTAAATGATAATATTTGTTAACACAAGATATTATTATATTAAACTTGAAATAGTAATCACAAAATCGCACTCTCTCTAAATATCAAATACTGATAATATATTTTCTACATAAAAATGATAAGTAATATAATAGAGTAATTTTTTCGTTTGGTTATATACTTAATATATATTTACGTGAATACACTAACATGAGTATATTTACATGAACGCATATATAAAAATATGTCTGAAATTTATCAAAAAGACTTTAACGTTAGAGATAGTGATTGATATTTGTGTAAAAGAAAAATTACATTGGACAAATGTCAAAAATATTATAACTTATTAAATCTTAACTTCATTAATATTTCAAAAGTTCTTAGAACAAAAATATGATTTCAACTAAGATTGTTGAAACAACAAACTTATTGCTTAATATGTTGATAAAATATAGAGTTTATACTTTAACGTATTATCATAAACAAATAAACATTGTTTAAATTAATAATTACCCATAGAATAGCGGAGTAATATTAGATCAATAACTTCTTAAAGAAAATTTTGAAATTAAATGTCTGTTCATCATACAAATTCGATTATAAACTTATTTAGTTACTTGTATTTAGGATTATTCGGTATGTGTAAACACTTTTAGTTTAAAATAGTATTAGAAAACATGTTTTAAACATAGTTTGATTGATGTTTTGTTACTTTTGGTAAGCTGCTTTACAAAATTAAATGTATTATAAAGAAGGCTTACCTTGAAATGAAAATCCACGAATATAAATTACGGCAACAGTAAATATTATCTTCAATAATGATGGTTCATACTTGAGTCCTTTCATACTTGTAAGAAAGAGAATCAGAATGAACTTAAATAAAAATATTTAAACATGGCTGTTGTCATCCTATTGCAATAACGCTTTTTAGTTAAGACACAACATTATTATCAACGGTATTGCAGCGCCCCACAGTGGGAAAAGTTATAGAAAAAGTGTTCTAAATAAAGTAAATATTAATTTCCATTCATAAACCATATAAATAAGTATGTTCGATGTTTTAAGATTTTTCTCCTTGTGTTTGTATAATTCAAAAAGTTGATTTAAAATATAGAACTGGTTAAGACAATATTACGAGTCAAATATGTTGCATTTGACAGGACATAAACAATACAGTTAATTGAAATCATAATCACTTTTCATAGCTTATAAAAAGCATTATTGCTATTATTATGAAGATTTAATGAAAGTTATGACTTAAAAAAATCCTCATTTTCTACTGCTAACTTTGATTGCAATAGACTTTTAAATAATCGCCCTTAGGATTTGATATTACTTGTAACATAAAATCTTACAAAAATAAACCTTTTACGCAAAGGACTGTTTTAGATTTCTATTGAGTGGGTTTTTGCAAGCATTACAATTGGTCCAGTTGACTATCAATATGACCCGTTGGCAATAAATATACAAATAATGCATAACTTTTTTCACCAATGCCCACCTGGAGAATGACCTTTCGTCATACAGGCATCTGAAGAGCAGATTTGTTGACCTCCATTTCAGGGGCACCCTATTTTGTAGACCAACGTTGCTCCCACAGTATGGACAAATAGTACAGAGAAAGAAAAGAACATCCATGCCTTGCCCGAAATTTGAACCCAGAATCTTTCTGATGCAAGGTCAGTTCCTTGCCCCTACACTGGCCGGTTGGCATAATATATAACTAAATATGACTATTTACGCAAGTAAATTAATGATTTTATACAGATATTGCTGCATGCAAAATATAAATTTGTTTAAAAAATTAAACTTGCAAACATACACAGAAGTTATAGCTAAACAACAATTTTTAATTTTTCATAATTTACCAGAAACTGCACTAAAGCTACACAAAATAATGCAATTTACATTATTTTAAGATACCGAACTCAAGTTAAATAAAGTATACAGATGTCACAGATACAAGAATCAAGCGTCAACAAATTTAGAATTCACCATTTTATCAGGTTCAACAAACAAATGGAACTTGGAAACCTAGTTGTAAGCACTTATGTGTTTGTTATTAAATAGAAGAAAAGTAACTGAAATCCAATGCGCTAAGCATATTGGTATGAGAATCATTTCATGATTTAAAAAAAAGTATTTATAAGAAAAATTGCGTGTTGTCGATACAAATATTTTGAAGTAATGAATTGTTTAACGGATAATACTCGCGTCGTTATTTCAAATAATATTTAATAAATGATACCAATCGCATGATTACACAACTTTGCGCAATATAGTCCATTTATATAATATAATTATATAATATATTTATATTATGGTAAGTAAATAGTACTCTTTTCAAATAAGTTAACAGATAATAGAACATGATATGTTTCAAACGACTTATTCCACAACACTGTGAGTAAGTAAAAAAGAGAACAAGATTCAAACATTTTATTTAAAAACTCGACCGACAGTCGAATTAATTGTGTAACTTTGCGAAAACATCTTATAACAGATACATCTTTAAATAATTTTTTTTCTTCAAAACTCTTATTATTGTACTATTTTAACAATATCACTTATATCTTATCATTCGTTTCCGTACAAATCATTCTGAATAGTTTCTTGAAATATTTCAGCAAAGCATGAGTAAATTATTTGTCATTTCCATTTTAAACTCATCAATTAAAAAAACCACAAATTATAAATTCATTAGAAGAAAAAATTATGAAACTTTATTTAACTCCAAATCAACTTTTTTATTTATTATTAATTAAAATGAATCTTATACAATCAGAAAATTGAATTAACAAAAAATGTTCTGCCATCAATCTGCTGTAGTTATAAATTAATAAATACTGTTTATAACTGTTGTAGTTATGAAATAATAAATACAAATCACGAATCAAGTAAACTGAAAACCAATAATGATTTATAAAATACTTTAATATTATGAGCCATAATATTAAAAGCACAAAATATTCATGTAAATAATACATGAATAAATCTTATAAAACTTATCTTATAAAAACAAATTGTGAATCATAAATTTAGCAAAATTTTATTTCGAATTATGAATTACGAAAATAAAACGCATAAATTCACAAAAACAAATCATGGAATGAAAATTTTCTGTTCTGACCCTGAAGTATAAAACCCTGAAAATTAATAGTAATTAAAATAATAATTTAATGAATGATAAATTCATCAAAACTATTACAGACTACGTATGTAGTAAAACACACATTAAATTCATAAAAAATGCATGTAAAAATTATACAATTCATCAACACAAATCATTAATCATAAATTCATCCAAACAAATAAGTGAATTATAAAACTTTGCATGAAAAATGGGAATCATAAATTCATCAAAGCAAATCACATAAAATGTCAAAAATATTACTTGGCAAAAGTCAGGCATTTACAAACCATGTTTTAAGTAAAACAAAACACGTACTAAAATCATAAAACGTTTATGTAAAAACTACAAAATATAAATTCCTGAAAATAAATTACAAACTCAAAAACTAATTAAAATATTTCACAACCAGAAAAATTATCTTTTATTTACCATGCACTTTAATCGTTATTTTCTTTTGAAGTGCATTTCCTATTCCATTTTTTGCTTCACAAATATATTCTCCAGCATTTTGATATTTTAAATTATTTATAATTAAGGATCCATTTCGCAGATTTTCAACAGACTCGGCAAGATTCTCATTACGGCCGTCTAAAATAGCAAATATTCAAATTAGAGTATATTTTTCGAAAAAGATATCTTTCAAAAAGTGATTTAAAAGCAATCTTTTAACATCAATGAATAAATAAAGCAGAATTTCAACAATCAAAAATCAAGCATTTAAAATCTTTTTTCATATAAATACATAACATATTTCACATTGATCTTTTAAGCTCTTCAGTTAAATATTATACAAATTACTTAATATTTGAAATGAATTGTTATGAGAAATTTCATTGCATATAACATTAAAAAGAGACGATATTTGTTTGAAATTCTTAATTATTTTTGAGTAAAATTGTGATTTCCATACCTACTTGTTTTGTCCAAGTTATTTCTGGCTTAGGGGAACCATCTGCTAAGCACGTAACCTCTAGTTTTTGACCTTCTACACCAACAACATTTTCTGGTTCTTTAATCCATACAGGAGATTCTAATGAAAGCAAAGTTCACTATTTAAAAATAGATATTTTACCCATTATTAATTATTTCGTCAATATTAAAAATTTATTTATGATTTAATTGTTAATGCAAATTCTAATAAAATTTAACAGATGTAAAAACTGTCTTTTGATTAATATTTTTTTTTTATCTCATATTGAAAGGTAAAAAAAATATATATTTACCTTTCATTTATTTAAATGTATCCAAAGCTACGCTTATATTGTGGAATAATGAAATAATTTATATTTTAACTGAAACAAATGTGAGTTTTGCAAACAAATACGAAAAAATTTAGAAACTTTTCCCGTTTTGAAAACCCTTTGATTAAATTTGTTGCCTCAGACTCAAAAGCAAGAAATGTATTTATTCAACTTTGATTTATTAAAATATGTTAAAAACCATAAAAATAAATAAAGTAGAGTATATCGGAAGAAATTTATATTTTAATTACTATTATATAAGAGAATGCAATTTTATTTTCTTATAACAGCTGCTCCGAATTAGAAAAAAAATTGATAAAAATATTTTTTGTCTCGAATTATAAGGTAGAAAATTTATTTATTCATCTACGAACTATTAGAATGAAACCGAAAGTATGGAAAAATGATGTACATTACAAGCCTTTACTATACTTAAAACATTACAAGAGAATTTAAAAAAAAAGAAAAAAAAGCAGAACAAATTCTATTATATATGAGCACCTATTTGTTTTGAAAAATTAAAAAAAGCGACTTATATTATTTTGTATACTTTTGAAAGTCGTTATATTAGTTCATTCTGAAATTTCACTTTTTAGTAATTAGTATTTTAAATCTTCAAAAATGTATATACGAAAAATAAAGGTATAATCTAAAAATAATCCTTGTATTCTTTTAAAATTTTTATGAAAAAGCGCAATTAAAATATTTTTGTAGCACAAAATAGGTCATTAAATAATTAAACAAAAGTAAATAAATAAAATACAAATAAATAGATAAAATAAAGAATAGCTATTTAAAAATATTCAAATTTAAAAATGTTCTTTTTTTAGTATTTCTCTTAAAATAACTGATCTCAAGATAGTTTTTTTTATTAGTAACTCATTCTTGCAATTATCTCGAACTTTACCTTGATAAATACTTCATGCACAGAAAAACCAGTTGTGTATAGTAAAATGCACAAAAATAAAGCAAATCAGGATCTTTTTAACCAGTCAAATTTGACTATAAAACAATTCTATATTTTTGTTCGTTGAAAAACAATTTTTGTAAAAGAATTTTAATATAAAATTTTCAGTGTCCATTTAATGCAACTGATAAAATAGAGAAATTTCAAAATATTATGTGTTATTTACAAGTATAAAAATGGTAATATACATTTTAAATTAATGCAGTTTATTGGATGTAGGATAAGTTGACTATTTTGTGCAATTAATAACAATTAAATTGTATAATAATTAATACCTTTTAGAGTGAACAGTGCATAATGTGTGTGCATTCCCATTTCATTTCTAGCAATGCAACTATAGTTTCCTACGTTTTGTTTCGTCGCTGGGGATATCGTTAGAACTGAATATTCAGATTGAATATCTACAGATGTGTTTGGTATTTTTGAAATATCTTCTCCATCTTTCAACCACTGAAATGTGATAGGCTTGGATCCCTGTAGTATTCCACAAGTAGCAGTCACCCTTTGACCATGAGAAGCAGTTTCAGGAAAAGTAAAAGGTTGAATGATGGGAGCTGTTAAATAAAATATGCACTTATTTTAGGAAACATGTCAGAAGAAATATTGACAAATATCAATAATTCTTATTGACTATTTTATTTATTAAGCTTAAAGCTGTGAAAATTCTTAATAATCTAAGCATATTTTTTTATTTATTTAGTTTTATTGAAATTTATCAAATGTTTGGGTACCTATTAATCTGATAGTAAAACAATTCACTTCAAATAGCATTTTCTCAGAAGGTAATAATATTATAATACTAAGAAATATTATGTGATTTTTTAGTTCTAACTTCTAACTGCTATGAAAGCAAGTATCTAAAAATTTCCGCGATTTCCACGCTTAATGCAGGCTTTTAAAATTTTTGTTAAAAAATAAAATGAAATATATAAACATTGTCATTCAAGTGAAGAAGTGACAAAACGCTATTGAAATCGGACGAATCCCTACTGAAAAAGGTGGAATTATTGAAACATATTTGATTACCGGCAGTTATTAAACAATGACTAGTTGAAAGGTTATTACACACTCACCTGACAATTTCGTTGCTTTAAATTTTGCCTTCTTCATTAATGTTTTTATTTCTCTTGAATACTAATTTGAGTTGCATTTGACGATTCATATTTAGTATTGTCATTATACACATTTCATAAACTGCTTAGTAAATACCTCGTTAAAATTAATAATTTTAAGAACTTATCATATAAAAGATTAATTTTGTAAATATAAATTGGATAAAATTAAGCAATCTAGTGAAATATCATATGTTTATTTTAAAGATTTCTTGAGAGTTGTTAAAATACTTGAGCGGTTTTAAAATTGGCAACTACTGAAAAGTCTATTTAATTAAGTTGGGAGAAAAATACTAATAAAGAAAGCAATATAATACACTAACATTTAGTTAATGTCAGTATCTCAAAAACGAATGAAGAATCAAAATAAATATGCTTGTTACGTCATGATTGGAAATTCAATTTTTTACCCAGATATAAACTTCTCTTTTATTCATCTTTTTTATTCATTCATTTTTAAACGGATCTAGTAGTGTTTTAATTATATTGCACGAAGCATAAAAAATATAAGAGAAGAAAAATAAAATATTTGATGATGAGTAAATGTAAAATTATTGATTTTAAAATATGGAGTAATTTCTATTGTTTACATTTCTAAACATTAAGTTTTCCTATATAAATATATATGCACTACTTCAAAACATCATAAGAATTAGATTAATGTCTTAAAAAAATCATATGAAAGTAATATTTTTTATACATTTAAATAAAAGTCAGACTCACCTTTTGAATTCGAAGAGCCATGAACAGAACTAAGAAACATCAAAAGAACGATCATCGTTAACCAAATTACAGTAGGTACAACTGTTCCAGCGATAACTATTGATGTCTATTTCAATCAAAAACATCCGACATCCCGTTCAAAAAAGGCAACAAAACTCAACATTGTTCAAAATCTAAAAACATTAGTTAAATGGCGATTTCTTTAAGCTTGGAATACATTTAAGACTTATACAAGTAGCGCCACATGGAGGAACTTTTGGAAACTAAATACATTAAATGATAATGGAAATTAATTATTATGTATTAAACTAGCATAGTAGCAATGTTATAAATTTAAGTATATTATATTTTCGCCTCATAACTGGTATTTTTTTTAACCCGAACCATAAACAAATCTATAATATGACATTAAAAAATTGAGTTTTACGAATCAGGCACTAAAAAAAAAAGGTTTTCATGCATATACGATTTTTAAAATATATATGAAATAGTTAACACACAAACAAATCTATTTTACAAAAATTAATAAAATAAATAATGCAATACGTATAATTGAAGCAAAAAATCACTGTAAACATGCCGAACATTTATTTTATGAAAACATGATTTTTTAAATGGCAAAGAATACCTCTATAAATAACAAACAACAATATTCTCAAATGTGAAAAATAAATTAACGACACGTAAGCAGAAATATGATATGTAAGATGACAATAAACATATTCTATGCTTTATTCTATTCGTTGCCCTCTAGCCATCTGATATTAGAATAGCTTTTAATTCTGGATCCACGCCATTTCCGTGCAATACAGGTTTCAGCGAATCGTGTTTTTACATTTGATACGCTATTTTACGTTTTGAGAGATCCATATATATTAATAAATTTGTTCAATAGTTTAACATAGAGCTTACTAGCACACTTACGATACATTATTATAAAAACGCTTCTCGTGAAGACAGTTTGTTGAAAGCATAACTTAATTGATACATACGGAAATCCAGAAAATAAGTGTTTTATTTTATTTATTACTAACGTACCACGAACAGTGAGAGAAATACTTTTGGTAAGTGGCAGCCCAAATCCATTTTCAGCTTCACATGTATAAGATCCTTCCATAGAATAAGTCACTTTACCAATTACTAATGCACCTGTAGATGAAATATAAACTGTACTCGAAGAATCTGATGTTATTTTAGTTCCCTTGACATCTGAAAAGGAAGAGAAGAAAGTAAACATGACACAAAATAAGACAAAAGTATATTAAATGCAGTTTTTTATGACAGTCCAATAAGCTTATCACAAGCGCGAAGGGAACTTGATATATTTGTTTAAGAAACGAGTTCTAAAAAAGTCATTAAAACTCATGCTAACTTACTAAATTATTTCTATACAGTACAAATCAATTAATTTGTTTTACTTTGGATAGTCTTTGTTTCTTTTTGTTTTGACATTGTTCTACGGATAAAATTCATGACTGCCGGTTATGAAAAATATTTATGTGCTCGCTACATTTACCACTCATCAATGACTTTTATTTGTCTTTGGAATGTTATGAGCTATATGTAGAAATTTTAGAAATCCAAAAATATTGCTAGCTAAGACTGCTCGTTTAAAGCAGGCAATGTTTCATATTGCGCGAAGAAAGTCTTTAAGCTTTGTTCGCTTATTTCGGTTTCTCGTTCGTTTCAACAAACTTTATACATTTTCTAATTTCAGTTGGAAACAACATATGACGTGTGTGCGAATAACTACAGAAAACTTGTGAAGGGCTTTGTTTACATAAATGTGGGTAACGTTAAATTCTAGCACGGGATCTTGATGAGAGTTCAATAACACAGAGTAGCTTTATGCGTTGGTTCATTTGATCTTTAATTAGCGAGTTTTTATTTTTAGTAGATTTTATTTTTAATTAACGAGTTCATTTTAAGTTTCTAGCAGAATTTTAAAAGCAGAAAAAATTTAAAACCTAGCAAAATGGCTTTTAAAATCGTATTAATTTCAGATAAAAAGCTATATGAATTTTTTTATAAGCAAAGCTCAAATATTTTAATACAAAATAAAAAGAAAAAAATGGTCCATTAAAATATTAAAGCAATTTATTTAAAAACTAATAAAGTACCTGTTTTCCATTTAACCTGTGGACTTGGAACTCCTGATGCTGCACATTCTAATGAAACGCTTTCTCCTTCCTTCACAACAGTGTCTGTTGGTTCTTTTAACCATGTCGGGGGAGCTACAATTATTTTTTAAAAAAATTTAACATTTTTTGTTACCAAACATATTTTATTATAAAGGGGCACATAGATATGCAATCTCACAATTAGGAATAAAAAGAATAATTACTTACAAGTGACAACAAGAGTTGCAGTATACTGATCTTTACCAAAAGAATTTGTTACAATGCAAGTGTAATTTCCCGAACTCCCAGAATCGACAGATTTGATAAACAGTAAAGAGGAATCTTCAAATGACTGTATATTAACAGTGGATGATACAGACAGTGGTTGACCATCTTTTTTCCACTTAAATTCAATTGGTCTGTCTCCCGAACGAACAGAGCAAATAGTACTTGCTCTTTCTCCCTCTTTTAAAACAGGTGGAAAGTAATAAGGGACGATAACTGCTGGATCTAAGAAAAAATTTATAATGTTTATCGCAAAAAATGCATGTAAAAAGTGCATTCAATATAAAAAAAATCTAATATCCAATTGTATTAATAATTAACAAGTAAAAAAAAGTAAAATTTTTCAAAAAAGAAATTCAACATATTTGATGCATATTTTACCGTATAAATACTTAATATTTTAAAAGTTATTGTTCATTACCATAAAAAGTGTTAAAAGTATTCAAAATATATTAAAATGTAAAGAAAATAAACCTACACATTGATCATTATGAAATGATGGAATTTTTCTAGTCTTCTATTTATTTTATTTATAAATGGTTCTTCTTCAAATGTTACCAAATCATCTTAATATCGTAATTTCTCTACATGGCCACGGGAATCGTTAAATGATGTATTATTGTAAAATTTGTTTTGTATAACACAGTTTTAATGAAGTTTTATTTATTATTTTTTAAAATTAATTTTGATTCAAATGTCAATTTTTTATAGATTGTACTAAAATAATTTGAGCAGAAATCTTCATAATTAATACTGAAAAGTTTATTACTATGTCTCTGCAGATGAAAACACCAACTTTAATTGCAGAATTCAGAAATAAATAAATTAATAAAGTGCACTATTTAAATCTGGAAAAAAATCAATTACTATTTTTACAAGCATCTTTTCTGGAATAGTCCGATGTTATCACAATATATTTCTATCTCATGTCATTTGAAAACATTGTAAGCATTTATGTTATATTTATGAAATGAAAGATGATATGTTTTAATCGTACTTTTTTTACAGAAAATATACAATATTAATACCCTTTAAAAAGTAAATACCAAAAATAATACGATGTTGAAATTATTATGTATTTTTTGTATTTTTAGTTTAGATAGGGATTTAATGAATCGCAAACAATCCATCGTGCTATAGCAATATCATTGTGATTAAATAAAATAAATTTGTCGGATTCAATCAATCCATTCACATTTGAAAAATCAATTTAATATATTGAATATTGAAATAAAATAAATAAAAAATAATTATGCATATTTCAGTCTTAAAGTATTTTTTTGGAAGAAAATGATAGAGGAAATCCAATTTTCTCAGTAAGAGTAGTTATAAGTTGATCAAAATAATTTTAAATTTTTTTTGATTCCATCAATTTCAACTCCTTCTATTTTTGCTCAAATATTTGAATTTATACTTAGCAGTCAATTCAAATATTTTTACAGTTTTACAGCTTATATAAGCCGATTACTTATAAACAGAAAAGTAAGAGAAATAAATAATCATTTCTTATCCATAGAGATTTTTTTAAATTTCCATTGAAGATTTGGCCTAAATCAATACGAACATTTTTGAATATTATTAAGATATGCGGTGGAGGAATTGGATATGATAAAAGTTTGAAGTTTACTACTTTTCTTCACAATGACATGAAATATCAGAGAAAATGTTATTTCACACATAAAAGGAATCTAGTTAAATTATTTGATTGTACACAATTCAGTTGCTTAACAAGAAATGCATAGTATTGATTATCTTAGAATAAAATAACAGAATTGAATGTTATATAAAAGATAACAATTAAAAAATACTCACCCCCACAAAGAACGTTTCTCAGTAAAGTGGCAAATATTAATTTCAGCAGCAGAATTAACTGAACTATTCTTTCCATTTTCTTAAAATTGCATAATGAGTATAAAATATCTTAAAATAAATATGAACAGTAAAATTTGAAATGATTCAAAAAGCTTTTTGAAGATGAGAGTGTAACATTGAGAGTGTTTACGATATGGCGTTAGTAGTTATAAATGATAGAAATGAGAGCTTCACTATACAGCCCGACAGCGCCACATATCGGTAAAAATTAAAAGCATAAGCTCATATTTATAAGAAAAAAAGCATCTGAAACAAAAAAAGCAAAGGACTTTGAAAACTTGGAAATCACTTTCAT